CCTTCATTACCAGGTAGAGCAGTGCCCCCTGAACAAGAGTTCGGATATTCTACATGAGTGTCAATTACTGTGTAAGAATTTTCCTAATTTTTTCATGTATATTCCAATACAAATATGTCATTGCAATAACCAAGTTCAACTTAAGTCATCTATACCTAAACATACACACAAAAAATTACAATTTTATAATGTAATTATGATGTTAATGTAATTTGCCATATCAAATTAACACATTAGGTGTGAATTTTAAAAAACTATACCAAAAAAAAGGAGGAAAAAAAAGAAAAAATAAAAAGACTACTTCCTTCCAGAGATTTCTATTTTCTCACAGAATTTCACTAAGGAAATACAGTTTTCAAAAATGCCTTGCCAGGCCAGCCGGTAGTGTGGTCATAAAAGCAGCTGAATCCAGTCTGTGTGGTTTGAGTCCCAGACTCGGCAACTTGAAAAACCAAGCAGGGGAACCAGCAGTTCCGTAATGGCTGTGTTGCTGGACTCCCATGTAGTCGACCGCAGTTCGCGTCCCAGACCCAGTGGCTTAAAACTCACGCTGGGCACGTGTGTGTGTGTGCCCAAGATCCCGAGAGGAGAATGGAGGAGAAGGGATTGTGGTGTGGCCATCCCCTCTGGGGGGTGATTTCTCGCTTTCTGTCTCTATGTCTCTCTCTGTCTGGTGAGCGCACGCGCCCTATAGCGAAAACCTCTCCAAAAAAGAAAAACAAAAAAACCAAGCTGGACGCACATGCATGCATGCCCAACATTCCAGGAGGGGAATGGAGGAGTAGCAACTTCATGCATAGCCATCCCCTCTGGGTGTAGAGACTTCCCACTTTCTCTCTCTCTCTCTCTCTCTCTCTCTCTCTCTCTCTCCTTCTCTGGTGAGTGCATGTGCCCTATGGCAAAACTAAAAAGAAAATGTTTTTCAGAAACTAACTGTATCAACATATCTGACATTTAAGATAACTTTTAAAGAAAAAAAAAAAACACCAGATCATCCAACATGAAATGATAAACCTGAAGGTATAACAAACAGCATTAGCTTTCAATATTATCCAATACACTACCAATTAGAATATGCACAAGACAACACAGGTGTGAAAAATATCCTGTTATGTTTGATATGAATAAAATTTTAGAATTATCCACTAAAGCAAGACCAACTTTGTCATCCTTACTGTTCTGTTCCCTTTCATTTTTGCCTTGAAAATATAAACATCATTTATCCTTTATTAAAGGCATAGCCACAAACTGCCTTTGATTGGTGAATAAAATACATAAATACTGGCCATAACAATCTTATCATCAAAGAAAATATTCTTAAAAATACTGCACATGGGGGCCAGAAGGTAGCACAGTGTTACGACACTGGACTCTCACGTGGTCAACCATGGTTCAAGTCTCAAACCTGATGGCTTAAAACCCACACTGGGTACCTGTGCTTGCGTGCCCAAAATCTCAAAAAGAGAATGGAGTAGAAGGGATTGTGCTATAGCCATCCTCCCCGGGGGGTGATTTCTCATTTTCTGTCTCTCTGTCTCTTGGTGAGCACACATGCCCTAAGGCAAAAACCTCTTTAAAAAAAAAAAAAAAAAACCACTGCCTGTGAATCCAGATTCCTACATTATATTCTACTTAAATACATAAAACGCTACATAAATGTACATATAGACACTATTAAAAAATGCTTGATAGGCAGTGAAGCTGGCACAAAGCCAATCACAGGCCCTGACCTGCCCAGGAAGGCCCCAGTTTACCCCATGGTCTAGTGCCCTACAATCTTTCACATCTTCCCTCTCCTAACTACGCTGGATTAGAAGATACATGTGGTCATCCTAGCTATTACAGTCTTTCATGCTACTAAATCATGTGTTTGAGGACTTTATGATGTAACATTTATTATTTATTTGAAAAACCTTTCTAACTTAAAAACAGGGATTCACAGTAACCTGCCAATCACAGACACAGCTACTTGCAGCTCTCGGACAAACGCCGCTCAAAGTCTTGCTTGTAATTCATCTGTTTTCTGACATGCTATGTGTATTTACACCCACAAACCCAGGAAGCTAACAAGGTTGGAAAGATTTTCTTTAGCTTTACACCTAATTCACACCTTTGCTTAACACCTGGGGATTTAAATAATTATACCTGTTTAAAAGTAATATTGGTTGCATTTTTAAAAAGATTTCTTTAATTTTATGTTATTATATTTTAATTTGACCAGAGAGAGAAAGGGAAAGTGAGAAAGCAAACCACCAGGTCCAGGATTTGAACCCCAGTCGACCATGTGGGGGTCAGAGACTTAACCACCATGCCACCTGCTGGCCCTAAAATTGGTTACTTTATTGTCCTTTTTATGTGCATGTTAAAATACTTCCCTGCATTAAACACTGTAGTCAGGATTCATTTGATAGTATGTATGTGGCATTTCTATAAAAGCCTAGCTATCGGGGACTTCATCATTCTTTTACCAATAAGTATATGCCTGACCCTGACAGTAACATTACTTTTGTAAGGAAATCACATTTGATCTAACAGAGCCCTGGGTATAGCCTTGGGCTCAGGAGTTGAAAAGCTTGATCTGAGGGTTGGACATCCACCAGGCAAACACACATGCTCCCTGAGGTACAAGTCCTGTGTGAAGTTCTGCTCAATGACACAGGATTGAAAAAGAAATTAAAAAATTCAAGAAGCTCAAGTAGTTGCCTACTCTTTAAGAAAGATGACTAAGTGCAACACAAAGTGAATATACTTATGAAGTAAAATCCATTAAAGATAAATAACTACAATTAAAAAAAAATGGCCTCAAATCACATTACACTGTCTAAACACACATCACCGTAACTGACTATAAAGAAAGGCGCCGGAGTCAGACTACGGACGTCCCACCCCAGTGCCAATACATGCTCTCGGCTGTGTGGTAGGAAGCAAGCTCCGTACTTGCCCTAAATCTACCCCTAAGCCTCTATTTCCTCGTGTCAGAAATAAAGGTAACAATACTAAACGATCCACGTAAAAGACACGAGCACAGTGCTTACCCGTCTAAGAACTCGATAATGCCACTATTATGTGACAGTCTGCACTAATGCCTCTTTTCAAAAAGTCCTGAAAATGTATTTTAATGTCAGGAGAGAATTTCCATTACGTGTGCACATGTATGCACGTTCCGAGGACCGGTCACTTAGAGGAGACGGCCAATACTCCACAAGTATGTTAATATTAATAGCGTGGCCTAGGTAGGTCCTCGTGACAGCTAATACAACTCCACATTAGGAAAAGGTAGCTATTCAGCGCAGAGTACCATGCTGGCACACTGAAGCGCATTTAAAAATAATATCCATATCCAACAGTTTCTGTGCTTGTTCATCTCAGAACAGTCATGGATATGTATGATACACACATTTCTAAATCCATGTATATAAATCAAAGGAAAACATGTCCTTTAAGGCAAGCATACGAAGATACCAAAGAAACACTCCAATTAAATATTCATATATTCGATATTTCAAAATAAGAAATCCCGATATATATCTAGATAATATATATGCATAATTTACAGTTCTACAGTGAAACCTGTCTGCAGAGGCCATTCTTCACCCCATCTCAACAGCATCTCAACTTTAAACATACAATGCAGCTCCTCTCGGAAGCGTTTAAACTGTGAAGCACATCATTCACTGCAAGCAACACGAAATAAAGATCAGGTTATATAGGCGGCACTCTTTTACCCAAATGATTATTCTAACTTATTCATTAAATCCATTCAACGAGAGCGCCCTAACAACTGTACTACGTTGTAGAAACACATCAGAAGAAAGAATAATCTAGTTGGTTAAGAATAGAAACTTTACATGAGAAAATTATGAGCTAACGTAAAAGAAATGATATCTCACATTTATAAAGATCTCTGTCCTTAGCTTATTAAAATGATATAAAACTTTCCATAAGAGATGTATGAAATGTTATTATGACTGATACAAAAATCTATATAAACATCATGCTGTTATCCAAATACACATTTAATGGTTTTTTTAAAAATACTGTCAGTTAAATTTATATCTCAGGGATGCAAACAGAAGTTGAACTAAATTTTTCTAAACTTTTGTAAAAATATTCCAGTAGTAGAACAGATTGCCACTGAAAGTAAATGAGCGAGACTCCATTATTTATTCTAAAATAAGTAAGGAATGCAGACATGCCCTTTAGAGACACAAAGGGTAATGTGGGCTGAGGTTTACATGTTCAGTCTCTGCTTACAGATGATAGGCCACAGGATTCATTTGTAAGTGATTCCACAATGACTACGCAGTCACACGCAAACATTCTATTACCAGTAACCCTAAACAGGTAAATGTAAAGCTAAACAAAGCATAACTGAAATTTTACCTCTATCATAAAAAACAAAACCCACAAGCATTGGAATGAATATACTTATGCCTTAGAGCTAATACTTTAATTTTCAAGAACCATGAAGAAAAAAAATCAAAACTAGTCAGTAACAATGCTGCGTCTAAAAGCAATAAACTCAAAATTAAGTTATAAATAATTTAAAGCATGTCATGAAGATGTATTAATAATTCATCAGATAAATAATTTACTAAATAATCAAATAAATAAATAATGAAATACATAAATAAATCAGCAAATAAATAATTCTGCAAAATAACCTAAACAATAAGTCTCCCAAACAAATCACAACCTACAAAACTACAATGATTTTCTAGATTCTGATAGTTTTAAATAAGCAAATGTACATAAATTAGATCAATCCTTGTTAGAATTAGAAATATTTTTCAATGCTTTTGGTAAAAATCTTAATCTCAATACATTAAGAACACATTTTCAATTTTTAAAAGGTGGCATAAGTTAGCTCTTATAAATTATTAACATGATTATAATATATCCTCCTTTACATTTCCCATATACTATCTTTGCCTAACATTTTCCCTCAAACCACTGGATACTTAAAATAACTTACATTTCTCTTTCAAAGGTAAACTTACAGTATAATACTGCTGTAGACTTTGAATTGTCTTGTCTTCACTAGGTCTTCAGAAATTTTCTGCAGGGAAAGAACAGTAAGAATAATCTTAATTATTATAGATGGCATTTCATTAATTAGTGGACAATATTTTATAATTCTGCAAAAATGCTAAGTAGGCATTATTAAATATAAACTATCTCAATGTTTTTGAAATTTTTAGTGGATTAAGTTCAACCTAACATAATCCAGCTTTCTCTATTAAATCAGACACGCAAGCCGTTAAAAACTGATGGGATTTCAGAGATAAAGACAAACACTTTGAAGGACAAAGTGATGGCTAACATTTAATGCTATCTTCAATTTGGGAAGATCAAGGTCCTTGCAAGAATGTGAAGAGATTACTTAACTACTGCATTTGATGTAATCACAATCTAATTAGTGTACCACAAAGGTTCAAAACACAATTGACAAAACACAATCAGTCTTCATTCAACATGTAGTTAGTTTTTATCTATCCAGAGTATGCCATTCTTGAAACTCATAAATAGTAGATCCCAAACCATGAGAACCTTTCCCACAAGTAACTTTGTGATGAGTTTTTGACACATCTAAGGTAATAAATCCAATATAGTACTCCAGTTGAAGAAAAGGAAACCGACATCAAACAAGGTATTTTTTTTTTTGAAACTGCTAGTTGATCTTATTTATTATTGTTGTTAAATTTGCTATAGGCATACACACTCACTAGAAAGATACAGAGAGAGGAAGAGAGGGAGTGAGAAAGCGAGTCTCCAGGTCTGAGACTCCCAACTATGGTTGGTCATGTAGGAATCCAGCACTTCAACCGCCATGCCACCTGTTGACTTTCAACAAGGTATTTAATACAATTTATTTTAATAAATTCTCATAACCATTTGGAAGTTAAGTACTATTTTACCTACTTCACAGTGAGAACTGAAGCTCAGTAAGACTATGAACACTGCCCATGGAAAGTGGCAGGAAAGAGTCGGGCTCTGTACTACTTCAGTATGACCTTATATTTGAGCCCAACCTAAAAAATAAAGAAAATTCTAAAGCCCAGTATACTGGCTACAATGATGGTTAGCAGGGCCAGCAGATGGCATAATGGTTACATCACTGGACTCTCACGTAGTCAACCATGGTTCAAGTCCTGGACTTGGCAGCTTGATACTCATGCTGGGCATGGGTGAGTGCATGTCCAAGATTCTGAGAGGAGAGTGGAGGAGAAGGGACTGCAGCGTGGCCTGTACAAAAATGAATTACTTGGGCTCTTCCTTGGTGACACATACGGCGGAGACATGGAGGCTGAGGCCATGGGGGAAGCCCAGTTAAGTTCCAGGTCCAACCTAAAACCAGGTGAAGCAATGTGGCACACACCTGGGGTCCTAGCTAGTGGGGAGGTTGGGGTGGGAAGACCCCAAAAGCCTGACAACAAGTCGGTCTCCCTCTCCTTTCCTTTCCCTCCCTCCACTTCTCTTCCTCGTTGTCTCTCAAGCAAACTCTACAAAAATGAATTACTCAGCCCCAAATGTCAACAGTGCTGGAAGCACCAGAGGGATTAAAAAGAAGGAAGAGATAGCATTTAAACAAAATGGAGTCACAAAAGTGTGGGGGACACGACACACACCGTCTTCAGTGGACCATGCTGGGGCCAGTGAGAGCACTACAGGCCAGGGAGCCTAACGAGTAAACTGTGATGCCCGCCCAGGAAATGTGACAGACCAAAGAAATGACAACGACCATGACAGCGAAAATGTAAGAGCTGAAGCTTAAATATCTGGTGAGACTACATTACAGAGAGTAGGGACGCTGGTCTCCAGGAGTATAGACAACCTCGATACCTTGAAACTCTTAGACATGACTTTAAAACTTGGGGGAAATGTGTCTTGAGCGTTGAGCTAATGAGGAAGTACAGTGTCCATGCAGGTTATCAGCAAAAGTAGACGCCTCGTGAAAAGCAGACAATGTCAGGACCCAGCTTAACCCTACAAGTACGTGCCTCGCATGGGTGAGACCGAATTCACGTTTAGACAGTAGACAAGAGACTTATGAGGGGACACTTTAAAGAGCCTATTAAAAGGAGGGACCGGCAGGTGGCATGGTGGTCAAGGGCGCTGGACTCCCACATGCCTGACCGCAGTTCAAGGTCCAGACCTGGCAGCTTGCTTTCTCACTTTCCCTCTCTGTCTCTCACTTTGTCCCTCTCTAGTCAGAATTAGAAATAAAGTGATATAAAATAATTCTTTTAAAATGAATGAAGAGCCTATTAAAAGAAACACCAATCTCAGGAGCTGGTCTTCCAAAGGGCTACATCCTCATACTAACAGAGAAAGCAGCACGAAGCTCCCCCTCTTCTCACCCCTCTCAAGTCACCACCGGAGCCCCGATTGACCCAACCACCCCAACCGCTGGCACTGACTGGTATGTACTCCAGTTCGACAGTTTTGTTTTTCCAAATGTTTTGTCAATTTTCCTAAAACAGTACCCACTAAGCGACCTTCTCGAACTATCAGTGTAAACTCACAGCATGCCTGTGATCCAGTAAATCTCATTTGAAGGTACCATTTAAACTGCCATGCAGGCAACTCGAGAAAGCGTATCCTCTGTGATAAAAAGTACTTCAACCCACACGTCAAAGAATCCAACACCTTTCCAAAGACTATTCAAGTTCAAGAAAGAAGTCATAAAGCAAGGAAATAGCAGAAATAATGAATAAAAGCCAACATAAGAGAAAGCAGAACGAGACCACAAATTCTTCAATTACTGGCAAGATTACACGATAATGTCTGAAGCATTCTTTCAAACAGAGAAAGAAAGAAAATTAGAAGTTCACACACATACACAAACCTTCAAGAAAGGAGATACACATACACACACAAAACTCCAAGAAATCAGGTGAAATTTTTAACTCAGTGTAAAACCTAAACAGTAGAGTTGATACACTGAGGCTCTTTCTAATAGAAAAAGAATTAGCAATGTTTAAAAATCTAATTAAAATACAGTTCAGAGAGACAAACTATGTGGAGCAGTTAAGAGAAAGAAAGAGGGACCAGCAGTTGGGGTAATGCCTATGTCGCTGGACTCCCATGTAGTCGACCGTGGTTTGAGTCCTGGGCCCGTTGGCTTAAACTCACAACGGGCACGTGTGCGTGCGTGCCCAAGATACTGAGAGGAGAATGGAGGAGAAGGGGCGGCGTGGCCATCTTCCCTGGGGGGTGATTTCTCGCTTTCTGTCTCTTTTTCGGGCAAGTGCACGCACCCTATAACAAAAGCCTCTTTAAAAAAAAAAAAAAAGACTCCAAAGTTGAAGCCATTAGAAAAGTTCAGGGACAAGGCCCTTACATTAACAGAATTCTCCAAACTGTCCTGCAGCCGTGTTGACGCAAAGTCAATGCCTGAGCAGATCAAGACACAACGCATCTTCACTTGGTGGTTTACAACAAAGATGGATTTGAGCTGGGAATTTACACTGAAGTTGAAGAGGTACAGTTAGACACAATGTTCTAGGAGAGTATTTGGCCTTATAATGAACTGACAGCCCACACCAAATTTAACTATCATCCACTCTACGTTAAGAAAAAATGAAATATTCCATGGTGCCTTTCTAGATTTTACTCAATGTCATAGTCACATTTGTATGGTCTTGTTAGCTGCCTCAAGTCTTACGTGGAGAGAGAAGGTCAAGCGTTAGAAAACATCTGCATTAGGCCAGAAGGTGGCATAGTGAAGGCACTGGATTCCCATGTGGCCAGTGGCGGTTAGAGTCCCATACCTGGTGGCTTGAAACTCAGGCCAGGCTCATGGGTGTGTGTGCCCAAAATCCCAAGAAGAGAATGGAGGAGAAGGGACTGCAGTATGGCTATTTCCCCAGGGCAGGGGAGGGGTGTGATTTCTCTTTTTCTGTCTCCCTGTCTCTCTCTGCCTCTGTCTCTCCAGTTGAGCACACATGCCCTACAGCAAAAATATCTTTAAAAAAAAAAATCATCCCATCAGGGCTGGCCTGTGGTCTCATAGTTAAGGAAGTCAGATTCCACATGGCTAACCACACTGACCAGCCCAAATCCTGCAGCCTGAAAAACTCTGGAAATGTGTACATGAGCACCCCAAATCCCAAAAGGATAGAAAAGTGGGAGAGCAGGGATTACCACACAGCACTGCCCCAATGCAGGATGGCTTCTCCGCTCGCCACCCCCCACCTATCTTGTCTCTCTGGTGAGTACCTGTGACCTGTGGGGTTGGAGGAGACTAAATAGATGTATAGACGCATCCATGTACAGAAAATGTTCACAATTGTAACCTTTCATTTGTATTTCCTGAGCTTAAAACATAAAAGTGAATACGTAAACCAATTCCAAGTGACGTAAATGAAAAATTAATTGTGCTTTATAAACTAAACCTCTCAGACCTGCCTCTAGCTACTGAGATCTACTCGGGGAGGTGTGCCCTGCTTCTCCTTCCCCTGGTCACCAGTGACGCTGACTGGGACAGGAGGCACAGTCAGGAAGACACTCTGGGTCAGCTTCGTGGCCTACCCTCCAGGGAGTGCTAGAACCCTGCAGAACAGGGACCTCAAGGAGGACGGGAGCGGGTGGGCTCTGTGGGACGGCGGAGGGACATCTGTGCCGAGTGTCTTCTTTGATAGCTATTATGCTTTTAAAGATTCATTTTATGAATCAAGGAGTATCACAACTCAGTGTTGCATGAGCCACCCAAGGGTGGGGAGAGGGCCCAGAAGGCCTGGCACTAGGAGGGAGACGCTACTGGCAGAGGGGACTGGACAGACTTGTTTCTCAGGAGGCAGGGAGTGGATTTTCACGGTAAAGCTTTCTTGAATCATCATGAGCTGCCTCCTTATCTAACTCCATGGAGGTAGAGGCCACAGGGGAGCAGATGAGCGGAAGAGCTGACTTGATTCCAGACAGGGGCCCGCCTCCATCACTGCTGCCCTGGGGCACAGTCAGGATTCCCCACAGTAAGGATAAATCTCTCCTCTCACCTCAGTTCCCTATTCTCAGGGTGAAGAGAGGGAAAAACAAACAAACAAAACCTGATACTGG